ACTCAGGGCTAGTGAAGTCACAGACCTTGCAGGAGAGCCTACACCCGCTACTTCACTGAACCAAATAACCCCCAACCACCTTCTAAATATTTATCCCTTTACCCACGGATAAGTGTATTCTCACTCTTCATCAAGGGAGATTCTCTTTGCAACAGACAGAGACCACTATAGACAATCACAATCGATCAAAATGCAGAGTTGTGGAGCTGAGTCTCAAATGATACATCTACAACACTAATCCTGAACCGAAGGCTCCGGGATCACTGCAGAAGAAGGGGTTAAAAAAAAAAAAAAAAAAAAAAATTGACAAAGCCGAGAAGCTGGGTCTGAGATTGTGTCTCCTAGAAAGGTCAGAGAAGCTGAATCCATGAAATCTCAACAGTGTGGCTGCTTAACAAGACCTAAACAAGTCCACCACCAATCAACATGCATAGATGGCCGGAGGAAAGCTCAAATGGCCTCAACCTCAGACAGGGAACTAAAGGGCAACTCAAGGATGCTGAGAGCAAGAGTCTTTCCCGGGAATTAGCACACCCGCTGACATCCAATACCAAACGACCAGCCCTGAAAACATGCATACAAATAACATTACATGACCCGAGCAGGCGGTATTCATATATTTAGAAATGTGTGTGTGTTTGTGTGTGTATGATAACACATATATGTTTAATAACAACTGAAAAGAGGCCATGATTTTGAAAAAGAACAAAGGAGGGGGTGCAAGGGAGGAGTTGGAGGGAGGAGAAGGAAGGGAAGAATGATGTAGCTATATTATACTCTCAGAAAAAGTTTAAAAATTCTAATGAAAAAAATCTCCTTGGAGGTTTGTTCCAGAGGATTCTAGGCTCTAGTTCTAAGTTCCAAGTTCCAGGGTCCTGCAATCATATCCTTCTCACAGTCACACCCAGGACTCCATGACAATAGAAAGCTCACCTCAGCCATATGTCCAGCAGGCCATCATGCTATGCTAAGGATGCCGTGGCTCTCTGACTTCTTACCTGTGTCCATGCCTGCAGCTGACCTCCACTGTGGTTACCTACAAAGTCCCCAAAGCCTGTTCTGACCACCCTCTGATCTGCTCACAACCCTCACTATGGCTCCCATTACTCTCAGGAAACCTCAGATTTCTGGTGATCAGACCACAAGGCTTCTCTGGCCCAACACTTAAAACATATATACCCCACCAACCAAGGCCACAATCTCCAAAGCACATCACATTCTTCCCCGTGCTGTGTCTTTATTCATACCCGCCACCCAACTTCCATTCCTCTCTGTACCCTTGATAAATTCCTACTTATCTCTCCAGAGCTAGCATTCTCTGAGAAACTTCCCATGACCACAAAGTGAGCCCACTCTTCTCCTGGTTGGCCTCTAGGAGAGTCCTTAATGCATGGCCTCAACTACCCGACTGATCTGTGTCCCCAGCATGGCCTGGTTCAGCAGAGGAGACAGTAAGTGATCAGTAGCCCAATGGATGAGGGTCTAAAGCTTCACTGGTCAAAAACCAATATCTGCACATGGTTTTCTACAATTAATTCAAATTAAACACCATTGTTTACAATGTGTAATTGTAAACAAACTCGGTTCCTTGGTATGTCAGTCATCCTTCAAATACTGAAAAGATACATGTGTTTAATAGCTGTTGTGTTGGACAGGGCAGGTCTGAAAGTTTTCCATCAGCTTTGGAAGTCCTAAGGACAGCCCTGGCCTGAAGAGGTGGTCACTCAATGGACCTAGTGTTGAGTTCCAGCTCAGCCTACCTCCTACTCCATGACCCTTGTTGCGATAGCTATTCTTGGTTGTCAACTTGACTATATTTGTAATGAACTATAATCCAGTAACAGAGGGCAAACCTGTGATCTGGGTCATTGAGGATGGAAGACACCATGCCTTTGATATGGTTCTTGAGGTTGGAAGACACAGGCTTTTGATCCAGATCTTGAAGGATCTTTAATCTGGGTCACACCTTCTTCTATAAAGGACAATGGAAGAAGGAAAGCTTCCTGATTGCTTGTCCTGCCTTTCCAGCACACCGGTTCTTCCCCTGACATTGGAGCCCACTTCTTCAGGATCCCAGCACACACAGAAGATCAGCTGAGACACCCAGTCTCATTGACTGAGAAACTACTAGATTCACAGCCAGCCATTGTTGGATTGGTTAGACTGCAGCCTGTAAGTCATTCCAGAGAGATGAGAGAGAGAGAGAGAGAGAGAGAGAGAGAGAGAGAGAGAGAGAGATGCACTCCACAAATTCTGTGACTCTAGAGAACCCTGATTAAGACACTTGTTTCTCTGAATTTAATTTTCCATTTTTGCAGCCTGGCCCAAACACTGTACAAGGCAATGCCAAGCCAGCATTTGACAGGACTTTTTGATTGATTCTACCACCCTTTGCACTGAATCATACGCGCGTGGACTTGGGAAGCCAGCCATTGGACAGATGGAACCCTGCTCAGCGACCCACCTACCTACCCTTGGACTCCAGCAGCTGCAGGGCAGGAAATAACCAGCATCTAAAGCTTGACCAGCAAGCCTCTCCAGAAGGCAGGCCCTGCCGAAGGTGTGGTCAAGGCTGTCTCTCCATAGCAAACAGTCCTGAACATACAAGTTCATCCCCACTGGTCTCAGATAGAGACCTAGGGAATGGCTTAGGGGAAAAGGAGCTACAGAGGCGGGTTGACAGAGCAGGGGAGGACTAGAGAGGGGAGAGTCAGAACCCCCTCTCCCCCCCCCCCCCCCCCCCCCCCCCCCCCCCCCCCCCCCCGCTATCAGCACAGCAGTCCTCCCCCACTTCCTTTCTTCGAACTGATCACATCCTGTTATTGTGTGGAGAGAAAAGACCAGGAGCTGGGGAGGGGCAGAGCTCAGACCAGACCAAGCGCTCAAGGAGAGAGCGAGGAGGGTGAAAGGCACCTCACATCCCACTGAAGTGAGTAACCCCAGGAGCACGCCTCACCCTAGGTAGCTTGGGCAAGAGAACAGGACCCAGGAGAACGCCCACATTCCTGGACCAACCTGCTCTAATACCCGGGACAGGAAGTGGAACTCCCTCCTAGATACCTTCCAACCTTCGCTAGCCCAGGGTCCCTGTTCTCAAAGTTAGGCTGCCCATACCGCTCAGCCCCTCCCATAGCACTTGCCTCTGGGGTTCTTCCGGGCTCCCACTTTACCTCCACTCAGCCCCTGAACTGAAGTGGGTGGTCCTCGCTGACTACCCAGCCTTACCTGGCAAGGGACAGGCCCCCTAAAAGTCCTGCTGCTGAGGAGTGGTTAACATTGCTGTACACACATACCCTTCCCCTCTTTTCTTCTGCTAGGACAGCCCCATCCTAGTCCCATTTCCAGAAGAAAAAAAAAAACAATGTTTTCTATACATCTTTCTATATAATCTTTCTTAATAAGACACAGACACTTTGCATATATTATTTCGGAGTCTCATGACAGTCCTGGAAGATGAGCGCTAACACCCCTATTTAACAGACAAACCAAACCTCAGGGCGATAAAGTGACTCACCCGAGAACCTCTCCCTGCGTGACTCCTCAGTTGTACTGAACACGGCTGGCTACTTCCTTCACCCCAAATGCCATTCTTTCTTCCCTACCCTCCTCCTTTCTTTCCTTTCATGGCAGTCTCTTCAATCTGTCGCTCAAGTCTGCGAGTCTAAGATCTTTTTCTCCCCACCCCAAGGTAAAATCTCACACTGTTCTCGCCCTGGGCCAGGGAAAGACATATCTGAGGGGCTTCCTGATAGGCTGGGTCAGATCCTGACACTGGGGCTGAATCCTACCCCTCTCCCTCTAGGAGATGGATAGAAGCCAAGAAGGCAACAGCTGCCTGAGGAGACTAGAGACAGACAGGGTGGGAATTAACTGTGAAACCATTGAATGCCTGTTGGGGACAATCTGAGCTAGTGTCCGCATCTCTAGATTTGGGGATAAGTACTGAGGTCCAAAGAGGAAGAAAGAAAAAGACTTTTCAGAGTCTCTTAGCCCACGTAACAGGTGGAGAGACACAACCCTGTCTTAGGATAACACTGTCCCTGAAAGAAAAACATGGCACGCTGGGCCTTCCGGAACTATCCCTGTTTGCCCCTTACCTCTCCTTTTGCTTTGGTTTTTGAGGCTGTCTCATGTAGCCCAGGCTGGCCTGAAACTCACTGTGGGTTAGTTAGTACTAATCGCTTTCTAGCTGTTGAACTATAGCTGTGTGTGTTTGTACATTCACTGTCTCCCTTCTAGAATGTAAGCTGCAGTGGCCAGCATCCGTGTTTGTTTTGTTCAGTGCTGAACCCTCACCTACAGAACAGTATCTGATCAGAGCCAGGTGTTCAGCAATTGCTTATTAAAAGAGAAAACAGAAGCTACACTTAGTTGGAGATGTCCACCCTATAAACTTCCAAAGGGTCAATCGTTTGTGTGCAATGGCCTCCCTAAGAACCACAATCTCAGTCTCAAATTCCATTCATGAAACCTCAGCACCTACATGGCCACTTCAGAACTGTCTGTAACTCCAATTCCAGGGCATTCACGCCCTCTTTTGGCCACTGTGAGCACTGCACACATCTGATGCAAACACATATATATATAGATATATAGATATATGTAATATATATGTCTGAGTCATCAGGAAACCTGAGGACACCAGTGGTGGGTAATGTTTTCCTTTGCCTGTCCTAAGCCCTTGCTGGGAACAATGGCCCCAACGAGGGAAACTGATCTAACAGGAAGGAAGAAGTTAACCCAACAGAGAGGTCTATCTGCCAGGCTGCCAACACAAGGACAGGGAACTGAAGCCCCGAGAAGTTGCAGGAGAAAAAAAGGGCGCCCCCCTAACCCCTGAGTGTAGCCTCCTTCCTCCCCACAGGCTTGTTCTGAGAGTAGGAGCTGGATTCCGCTTCCTAAGAGGAGTGGAGCCCATCCTTGCCAGGCTTTTCCTGTTAAAGTGCCCACTCTCAGGCTCTCGGGTGCCACATGCAAGCACAAAGTCCAGGTCCCTTTGTAAAACTTTTATTTAGAAATCTTCCCCATATAACCTTATTTATATATACACACACCATCATCACCACACTGGGATTTTTTTTTGTTTTGTTTTCCCCCCAATAAAGAGTCACACGCCCACAGTGTTGGCCTCTAGGCTGTACAAACATCAAGGTACCCGGAGCAGTTACTCCTCTTCTGCAGAGAAATGCAGAGACCAACACAGTTCATCACATACAGTACAACACTGACGGAAAGTGCTGGGCCTGCCCGCAGACATGGCGTGCTATGTACACAGGCTGGGGCAAGCCTTCTGCAGAGGGTCATGTACCACTGGGATCCCAAGTATGGCTAGACCCACCCAAAAGGCCAAAATAGCTGTCAGCTCACTACAGTTGCTGTGCCCTTTGTTTTTTGTTTCTGGAAGAAGGATAAAGGTTGTACCATCGTGTTACTTGCCACCACAAATAAACATGAATTATTCTTGAAAGACAGGATTCTCTCTGGTCCTTACGTTCATTGTTTTCCTCAAATGTTTCTCATGCTCTTACATTTTCCCCTTTTGTACAGATATTACTCTTGGGACCTTGCCATTTCTTCAAGGGTGAGGAGGGGACAAAGGGAGAAAGATATGGGGTGTTGAAGATGAAAACAGAATCCAGGGTTTTCCTTAGATCTTACAAAGACCGAACTCCTGGCCCTCCGTTCTAGCCCCGTAGGAGGTACGGCAGCCTGGAGGCACTCGTATCCCCAGTCTCTCTCCCTTTCTCATGTCTATCTCTTGCCTTGAAATCAGGGAGAAATTAAGATTAATCTAGAGAAATGAGGATCTGGATAGCTCAAGGAAGAGTCTTAATAAGCTAAATTACTCAAATATCAACCGCCCAGGGCCTGAACTCTGGCTGGAACTCACTGCAGGGTCAGCACTAAGGGTAGTGAAGCTTTTGTGTCTGTGCTGGGTATTGAACCCAGAACCTCATGTGTGCTGCTTGCCCACTGCACTGCACCCTTAGTGCACAACAGAGCCCACTGCCTGCTGCATCCATCCCAGCAATGATACAAAGCGGAGAAAGGGAGCCGTAGCTTAAGCTCCCAACAAATGTGTGATCTCTCTCAGAAAATCCACCTCCAGATCAACATTTTTCATTCCCAAGTCATCATTCCACCGAGAAGAAAACACAGCCCTCGAGCTCAGGACAGTTGTTCCGTTTTCACATGAGTCAGACTCCTTGTCCTAACTCCCAAGCAATGGAAGGAACCAACCTTAGTGTTCACAGCAGTATGAGACAGCTGAGTGTAGTATGCAACAACCCGGTGCCTGACCATATTGTCCCTATGCCTGGGGAATCTCAGGACTTAACAGGAAGAGGGGGGAGCAAGATCCATCTTTGTCTGCCTAAGTGTGTACTCGGGCACCGTAATGGTACTGAAACTCGAACAGAAAAGTAATGGGCTCTTACGTTACATGATGGGGCCTTTGGATACTTTCTCTCTGGCTCAATTGCAAAACCTGGGAGAGAGAGGCAGAGGCAAAGGCAGAGGCAGAGGCAGAGGCAGAGGCAGAGGCAGAGGCAGAGGCAGAGGCAGAGGCAGAGAGAGAGAGAGAGAGAGAGAGAGAGAGAGAGAGAGAGAGAGCGCTCTAGGTGACACTGGTACAATGACAGATACACAGGACTTCTGTGCAGTTTGTTCCATGGGCTTAAACTTCATTACAGACAGGCCTAGCTTTAAGAAAACCCAGTCCCACCAGGAGGACTAATTCAGGAAAGAAACAATGGGGCAGTTGTCCATACTACAAAAGGATTCTCCACTTTACAAAATGACTTGCAGGGGTTATTTCTTTAAAAGATGAAGAAGGATTTGCTTTACAAAAATTTTCATGTACAGCTTTTAGGGGGCACTCAGTGCATTAAACCAACCTGCCATGCACACACATGGGGCCTGCAATTGTGTGACAGGAGCGTATTTAAAGTTGGGCTGAGCAAATTTGCATGCTCAGGTCTCAAGCCAGGGCCTCACCTCTGACTGGACTCCATGCCCTAGCAGCATGGCCCAGAATTTCCACCAACAACCGATTAGGCAGAATCCCAAATGAAGTATTTATGGGACATTTTGTACTCCATCTGGAAGCCCAAACCCTCAGCCAACAGACATCTTGCAACAGGAAGCTTCCCGAGGAAAGCCCATGGGCTGTACAACCCAAGCACCAACATGCAATGCATCAGCACATGGTCATTGTGAAGTGCAGGAGATGAAACCCAATGCCCCAAACACTCTTGCTTTTCATCCTAACGTCACTCTCCCTCTCTGTGCCTGCACACAGCCCAACAGAGCATGCTCCAGGCTGCTGACCAATCCTCACAGCTGCAGGATAGGAAGGCAAGTCTCAGTGGGGAGAAAGCAGAGCTCTGATGCCCCAGAGCAAGAAGGGCTGTTGGGTTTTTCTGGCCCAGCTAGTTGAGATCAGGCTGTCTGTTCACTGGTCAACTTTTCCAACCAGGCCCTGAAGAAGGCACCTCGAGGCTTGACTCTCCGGAGCAGCTGGCAAGCTGGATGGATCAACACGGACCTGGGTGAAGATGGGGCTCAAGAAGTGGGCAGCTCTTGGGTACCTATATATTTGAACAGAAGCTGCCACAAAAGCCACCCCAGCCAGCTCGGGATGGGCTAAAGGCAAGGCAGAGGCTGCTGGATGCCTCCGGTAATGGGTAACAACCCCGTATCTCGTCCAAAACAAGGCTCACAAACTCTAGACCAAAAAACAGTGACACTTGAGCCTCTAACTGGGAAGTCCTGGGGATTGGAAAAGGGAGAAGACTGTGCCATCTTCAGATAAAGTACCTACTACTTCACTTCATTTTCCTCTTGTTTCCAGGCAGGAAACAGAAACACCAGCTCAGGGTCAGTTGGGACTTCCCAAAGTTCAGACTATAAGGGAAGTTCATCAAGTACAATGCCTGCTTCTCATCCCACCTGCCCTAAAGCCCAGCAATGCAGGGGCCTAATGGGCCCTGCCTGCTGGCCCTGGGCAGCCCCAGACGCATCACCGGGGGCCAGCCCCATCGGTGGCAGGCAGCAGGGCAGGGTGGAGGCTGCGGGCAGTGTGCTTAGGTGTTGGCTCCTCTGTATAACTGTCCGGGCTGGCTGCTCCATCCAGAGAGCTCCCACAGCTGGAGTTGGGGGAAAGCACATCCTGGAGAAGGTCTTCCGGGGGCATGCCACCTCCTGCCCCACCCCCACCAGCTCCCACCACAGGGTCCTTGCCCGGCTTGGCACGCTGAGTGCCTTCCTCCTCCTGGTCATTGAGCAGCTTGGCCAGGAAATTTATGTACTTCATGGCAAGGCGCAGGATCTCGTTCTTGCTTAGCTTCTTGTCTGGTGGGTGGGTGGGGATGAGCTTTCGGAGCTCAGCAAATGCCCCATTCACGTTCTGCTGCCGCCATCGCTCCCGGCTGTTGGTGAAGATGCGCCGCACTACTTTGGTGTGAGGGCCTGAAGATGGAAGGACGTGGTTAAAAGCAGGCAGAGACCTTCAAAGGGCTCCTCTACTGAGAAGCTATTCCTAGGGGTCCAGCTGACACACGATCTCTGAGATCTGTTACATCACTCCAGCCCTAGCTAACTAGCCTCATAGCCCCGTCCTCCCTACCACCTTCCACAAACAATGTGTGTCTGTCTGTCTGTACTGGGTGCCTCCTATGGGCTCTGCAGCATTTAATATTTCTTTTCTGTTTTATTTTGATTTTTTTTTGAGACAGGGTCTCATTATGCAATCCTTGCTGTTCTGGAACTCGTTCTGTAGACCAGGCTAGCCTCAAACTTACAGAGATCCACCTGCCTCTGTATCCCACATGCTGGAAACAAAGGCATATTCCGCCGTGCCCAGCTAGACGAGGGCCATATTTCAGTCACTTAACTCAAGAAACCTTACACACACACACACACACACAAAGACTGAAGCCAGACTATCTGGGTTCAATTCCTGACCAGAACTCACTGCCTCAACTTCCTCATCTGCACATTGCTGGTAATTTAGGTGATAGATGGTGTCCATGGCTAGTGCATCACACAGGTGAAGCTCACTAAGTGAGACATAACTCTTTTTTTTAATATTTATTTATTTATTTATTTATTTATTTATTTATTTATTTATTATGTATACAATATTCTTTCTGCGTGTATGCCTGAAGGCCAGAAGAGGGCACCAGACCTCATTACAGATGGTTGTGAGCCACCATGTGGTTGCTGAGAATTGAACTCAGGACCTTTGGAAGAGCAGGCAATGCTCTTAACTGCTGGGCCATCTCTCCAGCCTGAGAGATAACTCTTAATATCTACTATCTGTTCGCCAGGTTTTCGCTAACAAGCAACACCATGGTAGGCAGTAAATAAGTGGGAATAAGACACGCAGGGCCTGTACCCTTGTAGCGTTTACATGATAATGCAGATGGGAGGTGAAGAATAAGGAACAAACAAAAACACAACAAAAGGCAGACTGGCAAGTAAAAGGTGTAAAGAAGCTACTGAATTTAGCTAAAGTAGCTAACAAAGCATTTATTTTAAAAACAAAACAAATTTGAGGCTGAAGCAAAGCCATCCAGATACAGGGAGGGAAGCAGAGTGCATCTCTGAGCAGAAGGAATGACACGTGCAAAGGCACCGAGGCAGAAACGTGGTGGGTGTAAGGCATAAGAGAAGAGGAGGCAGGGTCCATCGCTCATAAGTCCCTGCAGTAAGAAGGGCATACATTCAGTTCTAGGGTGACAGAAGCACCAAGTGCGGGCTTAGTATATGTCTCCTAAGTGGCCTGTCACAGCGGCAGAAAGGAGGATGGAGGGGAGGATGCAGAGCAGAAGGGAAAGGAAAGACATCTAGGCCCCCAACTCCAGGAAAGGAACTGAAGACAAGCATGCACAGCCCTGCCTGAGCTCAGCAAAGGCTTCTAAGGACGCCTCTGGACCCGGTAATCATTACCACACTGATGCTAAGACTGCCAGACAGCGGACACCAATGCACACGTGCGCAACACCCAAGTGTGCAGAGCACTGTGCCTAGTATTCAAGCATGACCTGGGAGTCTCAGAGCAGGGGAAACACAAGAGGTCAGTGTGGTAGCAGTCTTCCCTGCTGCTTCAGGATGTTTGCTGTACAGAAGGGACAGCCCAGCCTGAGGATCCTACTTTCAGTAACCACTAGGTCCAGGGCTCAGATTGGAAACTTGGGGAGGGGGAGAAAGGGAGGGACATGGACATCTGAATCCACTGGTCACTTTATGGCTGAGGATGGAGGCAGCGCTCTGGCTAGGACTTACTTGACCAAGTAGATGTCTAATATTTGATGGTCCTTTTCTCTCATTTGCATGCACCTGTACCTACACTCTATGTTTTCCCCAGAAGTTTCCACAGCCCTTGCCTTGCCTGCAGTTCCCTGAAGCCTTTTAAGGGTCAAATACAGATTGGGAAAAACACCACAAACCTTCAGGGAAGACCTATACTGAACTGCCTCAGAAAAGCAATTTAGTGCCCCCAGACCTCTAGACCAAAGAGTGTTCTCCCAGTTGTGACAAAGGAGGACCAGTCTTTTATATCACGGCTAATGCTCGTGAGCTGGTGCAAGCTCCTAGGTGGACAGGGGACATTATAATCCTTGTCACAGTTAGAGCCAAACAGACTCTAGAGGGTAAGGAAGAATCCAGAACACATTCCAAAGCTTAAAGCCAATGCTATTATTATGGTCCAGGCCTCAACCCTATGGCTTTGAGTGGGATACTTTCCCTCTCTGAGACTCAATTTCTTCATCTGTGAAATTGAAGCAAAGTTAAATGCATGGATCTGTGTTGAGAATTACACAAAGACCAAGCATTCAAAAACAAAGTTTGATAGATGCAATAGGTGTCCAACACATGGCAGTAATGAGAGCTGTCACCACCTCACTTCATAGCCTTAGGGTGACAGGGCCTGCTAGCAAAGAGTTGGTGCTGGGAGGCAAGCTGGGGATGAGACACACGGAACTCCTATGTTGAGGAGATCCCAGTGCTGGACACAACTTCACTGTCTCGGTAGCTTTTCTGACAGGCAGAGAAGGAGGAGTCAGGAGCACCTATGTGGCATCAGAACTTGTAAGGTTTTCTCTCATCCAGAAGCACCTGTCAGTCACCTTTCCTCTTTGTATGTCTGTATCCTGGGCTATCCTGGGTTCTGGTGTCTTCTGTATTGTCAGACTCGAGCCTTGTTCTTTCTAGAAGCTCGAGTTCTACCACACACATCTTCTACAGGCTCCCAGCCTCCATGCCAGCTCTTCTCCAGCCTCAGCACACTTCCTACAGGGGCCCTAGACAGACAGCAGCACACTCACCCCACCATTGTCCTGAGTCTCTCAGTCCGCTTTCCTGCCCTGGTAACAGCAGGAAACAGCAGGTAACTGAGAGGAGTGGGTGGAGCTCCAAATCTCCCTTCACCCAGGACAAAGAGGATTCAGAGTTCCCAACGGGCTGAGTCCCCCAGGTTATATATATTCCATGGCACCATAAGCCACTCTTGGTCTCAGCCCAGAATGTGGAAGAGAGACAAAGTGATCCCGCAATAGACAGACCTGGGAAGAAAATCTTAAAAGGAACAACTCCAGCCGGAGACTCCAGAGTGGATTTGAGATGCAGTTCAGGGACTTCCTGCTAGTTAAGGAATTGGAGTTGGGGACATGAAGGGTTCTACCCTCCCTGGATCCTTGTCAAAGTGTAGGGATCAAGCCTAGAATGGGAACTACATGTGGCTGACTCTACTGATCTGGTTTAAGTGCCAGTCCTAACTCAGGTTTCGGGTTCTGGCGGTTTGGATGGGCTTCTCGCCTCTGTGAGATGTCTGTATTGTCCCCTTGCTCCCCATTGCAGATGGTTCCAAGCAGAGCAAGGGGTTAGCGTAGACTCACCATCAGTAATCTCCATCTCATATGGGGAGGGCCTCCTCTTCACCCGGTTGTTGTTGGTAAACATGGGGAAGGCATCCGGTTCTCCGAAGAACCCACTGCAGAAAGAACAGGTGGATAACAATGCGATTGAAGACAAAAAGGCCGCAACCAACAATCACATAATCCCAGCAAACACCTTTACTCAGGCAGACACAGGTGGAGTGATGATAGGCAACTCCAACACCACACAGCTCTCACTGGCAGTGTCTCTTGCAACCAACCTCACTCCACCACCGCTCCCCATCCCTCCTGGATGGAGCACAGACTGAAAACACTGGCTGGCTAACTCGCCCGCCCTCGCCCACCTCTGCAGCTTTGCCAAGCCTTCTCCTGGAATTCCTTCCTCTGTCTGCCTTTCATCTGCCCTCACCACAGCGGTCCAGCAACCAACTACACCCAGTGGCCCCAACAACGCAGGTTAAGTGGCAGAAGGGCTAGGTGCGGATGCCAGTGCTGCTCACCGCATCCTAGCAGAGCTTGGGAAGAGCTGCTCTCAGCAACAGCCCGAAGATCCTTCGCTGCAGCTTCCAGAAGGCGAAGACACCCTTTGCATCAAACCTCACCTCTGCTGCAGAGGGGCATTCAACACGTTGGCCTGGAACTCCTACTCAAGGAATCCCTCCTACCTAACACGGTTCTCAGCAGCCTCCACGGCTTCCCACACCCACCCACACGCCTGCACCCTCAAAGGAGCAGGCGGGCATCCCGGGTTTCGCCACAACAGTACGCTCCCTGAAGTCCCGATCAGTCCTGTTTGCCAATTGGTCTCACTGAAGCCCCTTTCCCACTAGTGCCAAGACTGGAGGACTCTATCCACTACGCTGGGAGTCTTTAACTACCTCCCTTCTCCCAGAGCTCCGCCTGGACCCGCAACGCAGCAGGGCAGCAGACAGCTCACCTGCCGAGCGAGGCCAGCGGCTGGCTGAGGCTGTAGAGCAGCGCTCGGCCAGGGCCGGCGGGGGCTGCCAGCGCGGGAGGGCTCAGTTGCACCATGCGGCCGTCTCCAGGCAGCTCTGCCGGGGCTGAGGCGGGCGCGGGCGCCGGGGCGGGTCCAGGAGGTCTGCACAGCTCGGTGGTGGGCACTCGGTGGCGAGCTTCGGCTACTAGGGCGTCGCGGCTCTTTAAGTCCCTCACGGCCCCGCCCCCACTGGCGGGGCCGCCCCCCGCGCTACTGCGTGCGCCTAGCTCGATGACCGGGGGCTCCGCCGGGGCTGCGCGGCTCGTCTCCTTGGCGACGCCGTTGAGCAGGACGAGGTGCGGGGGGGCCATGCGGGCCTCGGCCGCGTCCTGTCCCTCTAGCTGCGGGTCACTGCGTGCCGCCTCGCTCGGCGGCCGCTCTGTCATCCTGTAACCGAGTAAGGGGAAAAGAGGAGATCACGCACTGAGACGTGAAAGACAGAAAACTCAGCGCCACGTGGACACACACTCCCACCCTGGTGGCGTGAAGGGCCCGCGGGCCTGGAACTGGAGAGAGATGGTGGTGTCTCTAGATTGGGAGAAGAGGTTTGGGAGAGACGGGGAGGCACAGGGTCCAAGGGCTGGAGAAAGATGGCAGAAACATTGGAAGAAAAGGAATGCAGCCAGCGAAACAAAATCGAAGGGAAAAGGAGGAAGGAAATGTACGGAGAAGAGAAAGAAAGATCACCCAGTCCCTCCTTCTTAGGCCACAGGGGAAGGGGAGGGAACAAATCCCCCAAGCGAGCAAGCGAGCCTATCCTTCCCGCCCCCCTTTTGGTTTTGGCGGGGAATCTTTCCGGGCCCGAGGAAGGTGCTTTAGGGACCTCTTCCAATCGACTGCCACACACATACACCACACGTAATACACCCAGAAGCATTATGGTGGTGAAGTAGGGTGTGGAGGCTACAAGAACTGGGCTCTGCTCAGCTACAGATGTCAGAAGTATTCCAGAAAAGCCAGCGACCTTCCCCCAGTATTCTCCCTGGCAAGAGGGAGGTTGCCTACGCTAAGCAAATCCACGCTGTGTTCTGCAAGCTGCTACCCTTCCACGAGAAAAGAAGTCAAGGAACGCAGCTGATCCTGGATTCTGGTCCCACCATCCTGCACGCTCCACCCCATAGGCTCAACTGGACTCAAACGAGAGGGTAGGTCTGGAAGGGAAACCTGACTGAGACACACAGGAAAGTACTCCTGAAGCCGGTAGGATCTGGGCTCCTCTCTTGATGAAAAAGACAATATCAAGAAGGCCCTTGAATTCTTCTAATGAAGCCCCACATGCACACAATAGGGTGTTCTCCACAACATGGAATTCAGTTCTCACTGTACAGCATTGCCTTCCTGTATAAACCCTGGAGCCCAGAAACTTCCCAAGTTCTAACCATACCTCCGAGATGAGCACAGCCACTCATTTCCCAACAGTGTGAGGGCTCTTGTGTTACCTAGCTTCAGCAACGGGCCAGATACAAAATCTGTAAGACTCAGGATCAAAGTTGGAGGGTACTTGTGAACTGCTTTCACTTTAAAAATAAAAATGCTATGAACTCATCAGATGTGGTGGCACATGCCTATAGCCCCAGCAATGAGAAGCATGCTAAAGAATCCTGACTTTGAGGTCAGCCTAGGCTACACATGATCCTATCTCCTCAGTGTGTGCATTTATGGATGTATGTGCATATATACATACACAGACACCACACACATATTATCACCTTGGCAGGCTTTATAAATAGTTCAAACTAAGATTTCTGCTCCCAGAATTAGATAATTGGGCTATTTTATTTCGTTTTGATTTTTGTTGCATTTACTTATTTGTGTTAGAGGGTGCACATGCCACAGCCACTAATGTGGAGCCCAGAGGACAATTTTCAGGAGCCTGTTCTCTCTTTTCACCTAGTGGGTCCTAGGGATCACAAGTTGTTAGACTTGACAGCAACACCCTAACCCACTGAGTCATCTTACTGGCCCAAACTGGGTGTTTTAAGAGAAAATAATACAAAAATGTCCAAGTCTGTTCCAAACAAGAATCCATCTAATTGCTGGTTGCAGACATGGAGCTCCTATTTGACCACTGCAATGCTCTGGACCAGAGTTATCATGGAAATTGATCCCTCCTAATAAGGAACAGAAACTGAACCTTCTTCAGCCTCCTCCAAAACTTAGGGACTGCATTCAGACTACACAAGCTGTTTTGGGTAGTTGGTCTGGAAATAACAAAATTCCCCAAGACTGTTAACACACAAGTTGCAAAGCCAGTATGGCCCTGTGATGCTTCATTGAAATTGACCTCACAATTATAGTGGAAACAAAAGGGCTATATACAGAGAATACCACAACCACCGGAAATGAACCAGAAGTATAGTAGCCACTCTGGCTTCCCTCCCTACTGGTGAAGTACACCAGAAATAAACCAGCCCCTGGTGAAATAGACAAGCCAGGGGTGCTGGTCCCTGCCACCACCATCTGTGTGCTTTCAGTGACCAAAGCTTTAGTCCCAGCTTCTAATGAAAAATATTATGCTATGCACTGCACTGAGCCCAATTTCCCTCCGAAACACATTTACACTCCCTGATTAATTCTGCTGCAATGACAGAAGCTGGTTCCCAACGGTCAAAAGGAACACATATTCCAGATGAGTTGACCCTGAGCTCCAATGCCTCACCAGATGATAAAAGTATCCCTACCTTCAAGGTTTCCAGTAGAATCCTCCATGCTCAGCTCTTGGTTGGGCCTTAAGAAAACCCAGCTCACTCGTAAGACCAGGATCACCCTCAGCCATAGCCGAGAGGTTACCACTGAATGGCTTTTATGCATTTGTTTTTATTAAGGGAGGGTGGAAAGGGAGAGGGCTCAGGACTGGACCAGCGCTAGACTGGAGCCGTCCACCATTGCAGCTCTTTGTGCTTCAGAGACTCAGGCTGCATCTGGGCATCTTCACCTCCCAGTTGCCCCAGTGCCAGCCGCGTGTGACAATATGTGCCTGAACAAGGGGAAGGAATAGCTCCTTCTAAGACCAGCATTGCATCCTCTCCAGCAACTTCTAATACCCCAAATCCTAGCTGGGGATTTTGTATTTACTTTTTTTTTTTTTTTAAGAAATAGCCGCAGCTGCCTTAGACTTGGCTTCCCATCCCTCCATCCGCACTCATATGCGCAAGACACAGTAGAGAAACACAAAGCCTGCACCACAACCAAACATCCCAGTGAACAACACACTACCTCACTACCTCTGCCACCACCGGAGTGGAGATGTGTTCCCCACAGCTTGCTAGGCCTCAGGCCTTAGCCAGGACAGCCTTGGCCTTTTTCCGGCCTGAGCTCCAAGCACAGGCCGCGCCACCCGGATGTAGCGACAACAAAGTTACAGGCCTTATGAAATGTGCACGGAACCGGGACCATGGGAGCGGCCTGGAGGACATAATCCAACCAGCTGGTTCTATCCGAGGCCGGAAAAAGGAAAGAGCCCTGCTGGAGACCTGAGGCAGCTAGTGGTGGTCAGATCTCCGGTTCTCAGTCTAGGTTAGTTCCCTCCCTCCCCCGCCAATCTTCTCTCAGTTCTGAGCCTTTCCCACCCCAGTTCCCAACCCCCGAACACAGTTTCCACAGACATTGCCCCCACCCCAAGACTCCGGCCTGCAACTCACCTGGGGCATATTTAGAGAGACCGGCCCTTCTGGTTAGGACCTCTACTCCTCCACTGGAGAGGGGTCGAGGTAGGAACCCGGATCTGTGTTTTCCCCGGCTCTTGTTGAGAGGCCAACAGTTACTTAGCTAGAGGTGAGGTCCTGCGCGGTCTGCCGCGCCCAAAGCGAGTTTCCAGGAAAGATGGGGGTGGAGAAAAAGAGGGAGGGCGAGAGAGAAAATGGGGGGTCAATGGCTGGGAATTACCTTGTGTACCCCGCCAGCCCAAAGAATAGCAAACGTCTTTCCGCCTTCAACTTGCAGGTGTTTGGAGCCCCCCTCCCCCAAACACGTCCCGATTAAAAAAAAAAAAAAAGAACCCTACACCTGACCAATCAGGAATAACTACTTAGTCCAACAACAACAGCCTCTCCAGGCAGGCTGCCCGGAACATTTTCTAACCCTCTAACGGATCTGTCTGATTCAGTGTGGCCGAATTTGTTTTCTAAGCACACAGACTCGTCTATGCGGTTTGCTCGGTAAACTGAGCCCAGGCTCCTGCTGCCGACCCAGCGTGAAGGTGTAATTCCCTATATGATGACGCGGGGTTGGGGGCGGGGGAAGACGTGATGGAAAAGACAAGACTCTTCAGGCCCTGGTCGCAGGGTCAGAACCTGAGAGTCCCCAGACATGACCCCCATCTACCAACCTTCTGTCCCGAAGGAAGGTAGAACCTGCTTCCAAATGCCCTACTTCCCCGTTAGGGTTGGAGGGGAGAGGATTGTATCTAGTCTAGTTGGGTCCCTTGTTTTCTTTCTACTGGCGGAGTGGGGGATATAAAGGAGGGTATTTCTACATCTGTTCCTCCGCTACCTTTATACAACAATTTTCGATATTTTTCGGGATTTTAATTGGCAGAAGATGGGAGAAACGCTTATGTTTTGTACCGATAAACAAGGCAAAAAGGAAGAGGGTCAAACGAAAACCCGATGCCGCTTCCTAGTGATGTAACTGGATTTGGCTTGCTTTTATGTCCGTTCCCTCCCTCCCATAAATTCTTTTTTTTTTTTAAATTGTTTTGCTTGAGTCTTCCACCAAATGGCACGTCGAAGTCTTGGGTTAATTGCGAAGGCTTTTTCTCTCTGCTGCGGCTTTGGCGGAAGTGCAGAACTATCTCTTTCCCTGGGTATCAACTGGGTGGGTGCGGGTGCGAGAGGTTTTCTTTCTCCTTTCTAATCCAAAAGAAGGAGGGGAGGGGAGAAGGGGGAGTCCACCAGTTCCCGGTGTTACTTGAGGTTACTGTTTGCTTTATGGCTGAATCTCCGTTCTGAGCAGCTCTCCATTTTCTTTCCCTACCCCAAACCTGGCAACTTGGAAAACAGAGCTAGGGAGGGGCGACGGTGGGACTGCTTTGTTCACCATCCAAAGCAGCTGAAGGGACGAGCTAGCGAGCTTTTTGTTCGATTGTTTTCATTAAAAGGGGGTGTTAATAGTGATGGTGGTGATGACAAACGTATTATCACAGTACAGAAGAAAACGCAATCATTTCTTCTCCAGCTAGGGTGGCACTGACGCGGTCCTTCCAACGAAAGCAGACTCTGAGGGCAGCCACCCGCTCACCAGGGATCTGACCCTGCCAGAATGGGGCAGGGACTGTGGAAAATGTCCCCCGGGGTGATCCCGAGGACCCCCACCCCTAGCACCAGACCTGGAAAGTGAGTCAGTCCATTGTCCTTCCCGGCCTCTCCCCCAACCGCTGCGGACGCACCCGCAAAACTGACCAGAAATAGGCGAAACACGGGCTCTGCGGGCGGTAAAACGCGGGCCTCGGCGAGCGCAGTTCAGCTTCCAGCGTGGAAGACACCCCCCTCAACCAGCGGACCCCCCAACACCAAAGCACAGACGGCCTCCGGACAAAGCTGCCTCTCACTGGGCTCTGTCCGCCCACCCGAGCCAATACTGGCTCCCGAATACATCATAATTTGGAATAAAATGTGAAATCCCGCTCCCCGCCCCCATGCCGACGCCCCCACCAGCGCCACGATCTCTCGCTCGCCCTACCCCCACTCCCGCCCCCAGCGATTTGCAAACGCACCTCTAAAGGACACAGGCACAGGACTCTCGGTGGACAGGACCATACATGGTCCAGCCCCAGAGGAGGGAAGCAGAGGAGCACAAGCCTGCTCTGTCCCACAAGCCGGAGCAGGCAGACCCGCACACTGTCCAACATGACACAGCGACATCAGTCACACGCAATCGCACACAGTCACACAACCTAACAGGGTGGGGATCACACCCGCGGCGGCACAACGAAGCCAGCCGAACACTTTGTCCAAGGCCACACACCGCGACACAAGGACCGACCTTGTCGAGGAAAGAAAAGGGGTAATTTAAATACAACGAATAAAACGCAGGAGGGCCAAGGAGGGTCGGAATCCCCACACTTAAATAGTGAGGACTTCACACCACCCGCACACGACCTATCGCCAAAAGTCCACGCGGGGAGCAGCCACCGCGGCCCGCCCGCTCACGCACGCACTCTCAACCCAGCCGCCCGCACACACAGCCCAGAAGCAATGGAAGCCGCCAGAGCCTGGCTCTTTTCTGTCTATTGCGCAAAGGGAAAGGGGGAAGGAAGGAAGAGAGTCTCCCCGGCGGGAGGGGCGGCGGAGGGGCGGCGTGGAAAGTGTCCCCCCTCCCCCGCGGGAAGAGCCTGGGGAGAGGGAGCCCAGGCTTCCGTGCGCACGGGGAAGGAGTGTAAAAACGGACGGCAATTCCGCGGGAGGCGGCTGTCGCCTGCCCCCGGGAAGAAGGCCGGGTTGCTCGGGTTTTTGAGCCCTGGGGTGCGCGCATGGCCATGTTGGGCCGCCCCCGCCCGCGCCCAGCCGCGCGCACTAATCCCGCTCCCGCCCGCGGCCTCGTTAGCACCGGCCGTGTGCGCCGCGGAGATAAGGCGCCGCCGCGGGCCCGCCCGCCCCGATAAGCGCCTCGGCCATTGTGGGCCAAATGATTCATTTTAATTTGGCAATTTCTCCGGAGGCAGCGGGGACGGGTTGCGGCGCTGGACTGGCCCAGGAATGAGCAGCGGAGAGGGCTGAGCGTGCACGCTGGGACCTGACCGGTCCAGCCCCATTTTCCACCCCCGGCCTCTTGGGATTCCCGCTCCCCACAAACTCGGTTCTCCGCCTTCCAGATGCTCCTTCGGCGGCTTTGGCCACTGCTTTAGACTGTTAAGACCACCGTGACTCCCCAACCATCACCTCCAACCTTCGCTTCTTCATTCATTCGTTCTCCAGTGTCCTCGAAACCAAATACCTACGGTCTGTTTCTCTTATTACTATACCGCACCCCCAGCTCCTAGCTGATGGTCAGCGCGGCCCCTGACCACTCTAAACTGGAGTTGCTTAAATCCAAGCTCTATGGGAGACAGAAAGAAATATCAATAAAGAGACAAAATGTCCCTCTGGCTTGGTTTCAGGATGAAAGCAGAACCCACGAAGTCCCCCTCCCACCCCCCTCCGCGCCGCCCTGTTGCTTAACACAATCTTTAATCTTGGTACTGAAGCAGAGTATCTCTACAGATACTATTTAGTTTTCATTTAACATGCCTAAGGCCAGGAGAGGCATCAGAGGTTGAGGACTTGCCCTTCCTGTGCAACGCCAAGAATTGGATTTCCGGCACTAGCACTACAAAAATAAAAATAAGTACATAAATTAGTGAACTCTAAGTTAGCTCTTTTCTTTGTCTTTTGGTTTTTGTTTTTCAAGACAGGGTTTCTCTATATAGCCCTAGCTGTCCTAGAACTCACTCTGTAGGCCAGGCTGTCTTTCAACACAGGGGTCTGCTTGTCTTTTTCTTTAGAGTGCTGGGGTTAAGGGCATGCGCCACCAGGACCCAACTTTTATTTTTTTAAATTAGCATACAATTAGATATCATTTTGGCATCTTTGAACAGAACAAAATGTGCTTTAGTGATACTCCCTCCCCTTCAGCGAACTCACCCCCTAAATCGGACTTTTCTTACAGGTGAGAAAACGGACTGGGGGAGCAGGTGGCAGAGCCATGCCAAAGTAACTCAAAGTTCAATTTCTAGTGAGTGGCAGAAGCCTGATTTGAAGGAAGGTTTGGCATTGAAGCCCATAGGCTCAGATCGTTGTAGGAACTCAGTGGGCTGAGGAGTTCCTGGTTTCATCTTTTCATAAGGGTGGAAACTGGATTCTGTACAGGAGGCAAAGACTAAAGAATCAGAAGTTTTAGGTCATCCCCAAAAACTTATGGAATCCTGGGCCAGTTTGGGCTACATGAGATCCTATCTCAAAAATAAATAAATGAATGAAGGAAGGAAGGAAGGAAGAAAGAAAGGAAGAAAGAAAGAAAGAAAGAAAGAAAGAAAGAAAGAAAGAAAGAAAGAAAGCAGAGACTAATGTTGGTTGTGGAGGTGCACACCTTTAACCCCAGCAATTGGGCGGCAGAGGCAGGTGGGTGTCTATGAGTTGGAGGACTGACTGGTTTACATATAGAGCTCCAGATCAGCCACATTCATAGGAAGACCCTACCTTGAGGAGGCAAAACAAAGGAAAACAAGTGTAAGAGCCACTTAGGCAGGAGCAAAGTGAACAGTATCTTCTGATCGTAAAAGGACCACTGCACTGATGAACTCACAGCTGTGGCTGCCTGTACAAGCTCAAGTCAGATTGTAGCGCTGAGAGGGGAGGGGCTCAGGAAGTCCCACCCCTAACTGAAGAGCTATTGACAATTGATGACTTCTGGAGGACTCGTTTTTTAAGGGTTTGACCCCTGTACATAGACCATCCTCTAGTGGATGGCCCCACACGCATGAGTTAATGACCGTCATAAGTTGGTCTCTGAATTTTTTTAAAAAAAAATGTGTATGAGTATTTTGCCTGTATGAATGTCTCTGTAGTACTGTGTCCAGAGACTGGAAGAGGCTTCCCTGGAATAGAAGTTAAAAGTATTTGTAAGTCAACCTGTAGACACTGGGAATCAAATCCAAGTCTCTAGAAGAGCAGCCAGTGAAAAAAGAGCACTGGGATGTGAGGAGATAGGGAAGTAGTGGGGGGGTGAATATGCCCAACATATATTTTATGAAATTCTCAAAGAATAAAAGACGCACACCTTTAATCCCAGCACTCACAGAGGCAGGCGAATCTCTGAGTTCCAGGCCAACCTAGTCTACATATGGCGTTTCAAGGCAGCCAAAATTACATAGAGGAACCCTATCTCAAACAGACCTAAATAAAGCCAGGCAGTGATGGTACAGGGCTTTAATTCCAGCACTCGGGAGGAAGAGGCAGTCAGGTCTTTTCAGACCAGTTTAGTCTACACAGAGAGTTCCAGGATCCAAATTACACAGAGAAATCCTATCTGTGGGGAGGGGGAAGTCTAACTAAATAAATAATAAAAATACATTTTTAAATTACAAAGCCATATATATATAAATATATAATGATAAAATAATTTCAAAAGCGGGTGGCTGGGAGCTAATGTAACATCATTTGCACTTGTCTGGTTGTCATACAGAAATTAAGGGCATTAAAGGAAATTAAAGGGCAGAGACATGTGACTTGGCCAAACTTATAGCTAGTGAAACTCTGTCGGCCAATTCCCAATCCATAGCCTGACTCAGCACAGCAGACTGCAGACTGCCTTGACCTTCCAGTGGCTTTCAATGTAAAAGCCCCTAGTCTGGCCACAGACTGAGACTCAGTCAGGGGCTGGTCCCCACCCCCACCCCGTCTGAGTTCTGTCCCTCCTAGATTTCAGGACCAATACATGAAATGGAGTGTAGCTCAGTACACCTGTCCGTGCTTTCTGTCCCTATGTCCTCTGATGAGAGTTTGTCTGCTGTGTGTGTACAGGCAACTTCCATGGAACCCCCTAGAAATCTCTCCTGTCCTGAGAAAAATATCGGTTCCTCCCCCACCCATCCCCCACAAAGCCCTTGCCTGTGCTTGACTGCTGGGTTTAGAAAGTGAACAGGTAAGGCTATGAGATTGAACCAATTTGCCTGGGCTGTAGGACAAGTCACTTAACAGCTCCTAATCCTGTGGTTCTCAACCTGTGCGTCAAGGATCTTTTCACATCGGGTCTTCTAAGACCATAGGGGAGCACAGATATTTATATTATAATTCATAAAGTTGCAAAATTACAGTTATGAAGTAACAACGAAAATGATTTTGTGGTTGGGGTCACCTCAACACTAACTGTATTAAAGGTAGCAGCAGCATTAGGAAGGTTGAGAACCACTGTCCTAACTCCTGTACAAAGAGGACATCTATTCCGGTACTGCCTGTGAGCTTAGATGGACATGCTTCCAGAGAAAGCCAGTCTGGACCAGCGCTGAAGCGGGAGAATTCACGTAAGCAACGGAAAACTGGTACAGTTTGGGTGGAGGAACTGAAGGTTTTGTTTTTACCGTTTTGTTTATTTACATAAGGGCTTGGAGTCCTATGTAAGATAGGATTTACTTTTTTTAGGAAACCCTTGGGTTGAAATGGCGGCAGGGGTTGGCGGTGGGAGTGGGGGAATGAAGGCTGGGACCAGTACAGAGACCAAGGAAGGGGGTTAGAGCTTGTTCCAATCTTTCTTAAAGGAAGGAGGTGGAAGAGAGGGTGTGAGTGTGGATGTTTTGTGCGAAATATTTAAGGTAATATTTAAGACCGAGTTTGGAAGAACTGGGGTGGAGAGTAAGGTCGAAGAATCCAGGCAACCTTGAGTTTCCGGATGTCTGGGGCAGTTACTTAAAGGGGGGTGGGAAAGGCTAGGGACTTGGGGAGGTTATGTATTTTATCTTGAACTCCATGACCGATGACCACCGGATCCTTTTCCAGGGTGTGAAATGGCCTTCTCCAGTGCTTCCAAGGTCGGTTAAGGAGTAGGGTTGGATGGAAGGTGCCGGTGCGGCGTCTTGCCCTTCCCCACTTCTATACAGGCGTCTTGCGTGGAGCTCAGCAGCCTTGCCC